AGAAGATGACCAGCCAATAAAGAAACCTGACACCTAATTCGCATCAAAGTTCAATTTTACAACATCAAAGTTAATTTTTACAACGTCAAAGTTCATCTTGACAAAGTCAATATTTCCCTATATATACAACAAGGAGCACTGATGATGATTCATTCGGAATCGAAATATGGCCTTATTTGCAGCATGAATTAGAAGAATAAGTTTATTTTGAATTTTAATAAACTAAACGTTCACCAAAAACTTTAGTGAGAAAAATCGAAAAAACGAACTACAAACATATTAACGCCAAACATTCGGTATAATTTATAGAATATTGTAAAAATTATGGTCTATTATGGTCTATTACCAACATATATATATATATATATATATATATATATATATATGTTGGTAATAGACCATAATTTTGTATAATATATATATATATGTATATTTATATATATATCCATGGTTACTCTGCTTATATGGAATAGTGAGGATGCTCGCCTCATAAATATTTTAATGTTTTGTTCGCCCTTCTACGACTTTGTAAACAAAAGGAGGTGGCATTTTAAAGAATCGTGCTGCTGTGCTCGTTTCAATGTTTCTGAGAATATCGTTAGTTTTCAAATGTTTATATACATTTGCATCTGTTCTATGTTAGTATAGGCAGGTACATTTATTTGCATGTTTGTTTGATTGTATGTGTGTATGTAGTACATTTGTTTGTTAGTATATAAGTATGTATGCATACATTTATGAGACTGAGACTGGTTATTTGTGAAGAGTGTTATAAAAATTTTTGCAGACTTCTTATTAGTTTTGACGAGCACACTCGTAAACAGTTTCGAAGCTCTTGTTATATTAATTTAGGTTTGTAATATCATAGTATAATTTTCATTTTCAAGCTTAATCTCACGCAGGTGTTATAAAACCTGAATTCTGTTAACAAAAAGTTTTTGTTAACCTTGCTTCAAACGTCAAATTTCCATCGAACTATGCTAAACAAGTTCTATTAGTTCAATAAACTCCATTCGAGCACAGACTGCTCAATGTTTTAAGCGTCAAACTTGATAACAATTTCGAATAAATGTAAAACATCTAGTCAAAATAATGCCGAGAATTCAACATAAAATTTGTTTTAAATGTTTTTTTGCAACAAATTCAACAGTTTCATATAGCAATGAATGGCACCATGAATATGCCATGAAAAGAAAATAGTTGTGGCTGGACGCAAGGTGGCAGATGTAGCAAAACAATAAAAGGTACTAATGCACAATCCAGTGAGACAGCAATGTTACAAGTGCAATGAAATATTTGCTGCTGCTCTGTTCGAATGACAACCTCATAAGGAGGAGGCATGAACTGATGAGTGGAGTGGTTGGAGCGGGTGGAACAACATTTTCAGCGAACAGCATGGTACGTTTTTGTGCTATTCATTAAAATATGAAATTGACCAGTTTGTGTCCAAAAGGAATATTTTGTAGAAATTGTTTTGCACCGTTCGACAGAAACTACACTACATTTTATTTTGCCTCATTTGTCATATGCAGTTAGCAACTGCTACAAAAAAATATTAGTCAACAGTTGACATCTGACCGGTGTATCTTCCAAAATGACAACAACATCAATAATTACATTAGCAACATCAACGCAACAACGAAAGCAAAAAAATTAAAAATCTTCGAAACTAACTTTTCTTCAAGTTTGTCATCGTGCACCAAGGAATCCCAATCCAAATCGACAGCATTCTGTTTATCCTCGTCAATGTTGTTGTTGTTGTTGTTGTTCTTATTTTTATTGTTAATCTCACTTTGTTTGCTTTCGTTATCATCAAAATTCTGTACAAAACTTGTTGTCGGTTTTAAATTTCTGTATTCATCGCTGTCGTCTGAATCAAGGAAGATGTTGTCGTGAGAAGTTTTCTGCTTGGCGAGTTTACTGTTTAAATTTTTTCCTTCAATAATATTTTGTTGTTGTGGTAGTTGTTGCTGCTTGTTTCGTTCTTGGTTGATCTGTTGTAGAAGTTGTTGCTCGTCTGAGAACTGCTTGCGCGGTTGCGATGGAGGTGAGTGTCGACTGGTGGCGGAGGCTTCGTGGTTCTTGCCGCTCCTGCCTCGTCTACTTGACTGATCTTTCTTTGTTTGTTTCATTGTACACGTGCAACTGCACTGGTTGTCGTGCGTTTGTCGTTGCTGCTGCTGCTGTTGGTGGGTAGATGGTGCTGTTGATGAGGACGATGTTGATGAATTATTCACCATTTCTACAGGCCTTTTGAATCTGTTAGAAGGTCACAAGTCATACATGACATTGCACAAGGAAATAATTTGTTTTGTGAGAAAATAAAATATTTCCTGAAGGTCTAATTTGGGTTGAAAATTTTTTATTAAAATTGCCACTACTCGTAAATCACTTTCACGGCAGCCAATGTCATGCTTTGTTACATATGACAAAAAATAATTTGCAATAAGAATTTTTCCATCACGGTCATCATCACACCACCTAAGACAATATTGTCAGTGTAATCTCAATTGTTCGTTTAATGGCTCCTAACCACCATCAACAACATTTTAACAGCAGCGTTCGTACCATTTTGTTTACCGTCACTCTACTTATGTTGTCTCTGGAATAATTTTAACTGACACGAGAATGTTTGCACTGTTGTTTGTCAACTTTAATTATTTTAATAAATTTAATTTATGAAATTAATGCAAGTAAATGCCCGTATTGCGATAAGGATTTTATTCAAGTAAAAGGACACACTTGGCGTTGTGCAAAAAATACCAACTCTAATAACAACATTGTAAGTTCTGCTGAAAAATCCAACGTTGAAGTTTCTCTTAATATTTATAATGCACATTCTATAGATAACAGTTCAATTAATTTGGAAAAAAATATTATTTGCTGCTGCGGTAAAAGCTGCAAAGGTAGAAAAGGCCTTATTATGCACCAATGTTCATGTAAAATGCATAATCAACTTAAATTAGCAGACAACCCTGCAAGCGACGTAGATGCAACCTCACCAACCTCGGAGCAACAACCATTGGAACCATCAAATAATGCGACATCTACTTCGTCACCCTCACCAACAGAATCAATAGAATCAACTCTACCAGGCGTCAAACTACCAAAAACTTCAATACAATGGTCAGAAGCAAACGCCTACTTCCAACTGCAACAACATACACTGCCAAGCTACTACGACATTGACGCATTTGCATATACATTTCAAAAAATGATTTACGACTACTTTGCCTTAAATTATAGCACCATCAAACCTCAAACGATCAACAACAACAACAAAAGTTCTAACAAATCTATTAAAGAATTAAAAAATAAATTGAAGCAACTAAAATTACTGGGCCGCAACAACCAGGGCTTTGACAATCTTATCAGATCAACAAGTAAAGAACTGCGAGCCAAACTGTTATCAACAAAAATATCAAAATCTGGTAAGTCATGTGGTAACATCACGTCTCATTTGAAACGACGGTTTAGATGGACATGCAGAAGAATATTTGCCCAGACAGAAAATTTGAACGTCAGTGATTGCACACATTATTTCAAACAAATACTATCAGATGATAACCAGAAAAAATGCCAACTACCAAACTGGACTCAACAGCTACAAAAACCATCAACACCCTGCAACACAAGCCCTCCATCATGCCACGAAATATCTACAATAGTTCGCAAGAACAAAGCTAGATCATCACCTTGCCCACTCGATCAAATCTCGATAATTTCATTTAAAAAATGCCCTATATTACGCACTATTCTTCACAAACTATTAATACAATGCTGGTTGTCAGATAAAATCCCAATTTGTTGGAAAAAGGGCTTCACGATCCTCATCCACAAAAAGGAAGACGCTCACAATCCTTCCAGCAAAAATTTTACCGAATCTTTGAGATTAAAACTCCGTAGCTACCTGAAATGAAACGGCAACGAAGAACTTAAATGTTTATGGAGCGAGTCCTATAGCAATTATATAAAAATCGACAATTTGCTTCCTGACTCAAAGGACATAAAACCGGCACTCAGCATGTTAACGATCAAACAACAAAATGCAGAACTCGAACATCTATCGCTACTCCGTTGCCAAGGGACAATTTTAAAAGTGATCAAAGACCAGATTCCTGCAGCTAGAATTGTTCACTGGTCGAAATTCACTGCAAACCTCCCAGAAGTACTGTTCAAATTTGTTAGGAGAAGTCTCATCCAACAACTCCCCACAAATGCAAATTTGTTCAGATGGGGCAAATCATCAACGGCTGACTGTCCATTGTGTAAAGCGCGGCAAACAAACAAACATGTTCTGTCTAATTGCAATTCGGTGGCAGCACTAAAAAGATTCACAATGCGTCACAACAAAATTTTAAACATAATTATAGAAAGGTTGAAAGCATGCGCGGGTCCAGAGATTTTGATATATAGATTTTGATATATAGATTTTGATATATGCAGATGTGGACTATGATGGGATCCCTCCAGTGTCTTGTCTTTTCAAATCCCTACGTCCTGACATCGCAATACTTCCTGAAGACACAATAGAAATATTAGAGCTGCAGGTCTGCCATGAATCCAACCTACTCAACTCAAAAAAATATAAAACCATCAAATACTCAGAAAATCTCAAAAATAATTTGTATGACAATTCAATACACCTGAAAATAATAATTAATACTTTTGAAATTTCAACATTGGGCTTTTGCAATTTTTTAAATTTATCATTAATCAATAACATTTGGTCAGATCAATTTTATAATAACCTTATTAACTCTGTAATACCGTCATCTTATGCCATCTATTGTGAACGCAATAACAATTGAACTGTTCGTTTAAAACTAATCATATCTCGTTGTACTCGTTTATTTCAAATGATGAGCATCGTAGAATACTATTGTATTTAATTTAATTTAAATCAATTTATCTATTTTATTTTATTTTATTAGATTTTAATTAGACTTTTATCTCATTTTACTATATTTCATAATTTTCTAGAAGTAAAAAAGAGTTCAAATTATTATTATTATCATCATCATTATTGTATTGTTATTTGAAATTGGAAGTTTATAATTAAATAAATAAACAAACATTATTAATGGAATAAACAGAGACAATAATAACGATGACGCAAGCCAAACGACGGAAAATAAACAAATTATCACTCCCACCTTCTATGCCGCCAAGCTGTTCTCAAACTGTTGGTGACGTCATCGCCGTAACTGCTACCACCACCATCGTCGTCATCGGCTTCAACATCACCAGCACCACCACCATCATCATCATCATCGCCGTCGGATTCATTATCGTCATCATTAAATTGGTGGAGCTTTCCAGTACTGTCATCATCGTCATTGCCATTTAAGTTGAAGCCTGCATTGTGGGGTGGGTTGGTGATGATAATGATGATGACTGTTTTGATGATGATGATGATGATATTGAAATTATTATGATTTGTAGTGAATCATATATAAGCATACATGGTTACATTTATTTGATACGTTATGTATTTGTATATGCTTCTGACAAAGTCGGAAGTCGTGTTAGTTGTTCGGGGAATTAGCTCGCCAGGTTAGAGATAGTTGGGTTTTTTGTTCGCCGTATGACAGAACATTGTTTTGTTATTGTTACATATTTTTTTCTTTATTTGATGTTTAAGTTGTTGTTGTTTGTTGTTTATTGATGTTGATCCGTGTGTTGTGGTGGTTGTGTACATCTCATTGCGTTGTATGTTGTTGTTGTTGTTGTTGTTGTTGTTGTTGTATGTCGGTGTTGTTGTTGTTGTATGTCGGTGTTGTTCGAGTGTTGTGGTTGTTGTGTACATCTCATTGCGTTGTATGTTGTTGTTGTTGCTGCTGTTGTTGTTGTTGTTGTTTGATGACATTTTTGCTTGCAAAAGTAAATGTTCTAGTTATGCTACTATTACAAAAACATTTCAATGCATTCGTTGTTTCTCTTTGATGAAATTCGGTTGAAAAAAGTTTTATTTTCTTTTTTTCATAAATTTCTGTGTTGATGACAAATTTTGCTACATTGTCAAAACTTAATTTTTTACTAAAATTGTTCCATAGAATAATAAATTAGTAAAAGCATAACAATAACTAATAAAATACATCTCAAAAACTAAAACCAACGTTATCTCACACAAATAGTGGAACCACACAGGTGCACAGAACAATTAGGTCTTGTAAAGTTTCACGATTAATCACATTAACAATGAAAAAAGGTTGTTAAAACTTTTAACTAATTAGCTATGAATAAAATGCATAACAATCTAACTATAGCAAGTAACAATTACTTATCATCACAATAACAACAACAGTAACAACATTAACAACAACAACGAAACGGTTATTATCGAAATGACGATGGTGATAACATTAATGATGTTATCCGTTTATGATGTACAAAGATAATGTTATTTAATTTGCAATATTATCTATATTCTTTGTAGAACATGTAATGTCGTTGTAGCAGCAGTAATTGTATCCATGTGATGACGATTGTCGGATATGTAGTGAGTTCATTGCAGGTGCTGTGTTGTTAAATGCAATATGGAGATCACTTTATTTCTTTCTTTATTGTTTTAAGAAACCTCGTTAGGACATCCAGGGGCTGTTGTAATAGAAAGTCATCATATACATCAATGAGAAATATCACGCAAGCAGTCATAAGCATTGTGGTTGCAGAGTGTTTGTTTGTTGTTATTGCTGAATGTAATGAATTGATGAAAAACATTGGATGGAACCATATTCCGTGTTTGCTCATCTGCTATGATAACAACAGAACTATCTTTATTATCGTGCCTTTGCTTGTGTCTGTTGTTATTATGAAACATTTAGTGCAAATTTAAACATTAAATCGAACGTACATTTTTTTAGAATATTTTCTAACCGATTTTTCTTTTATAACATTGCTACTTTATGTATTTATTTATTATCAAATTTATTGTTTCAACTGATGAAAGGACTATCCCAAATAACAAATAAGATGCCTGTAGGCCAGTTATTTTCCAAAGTTGTTGTACAATGACCCGGTTAGAATGTAAGAAAAATTTTTGTTATTGTTCTTTAAAAAAATTAGAATCTGGCAGACGCGGAATCTGTTACAACATGCACATATGATTCTATTCCAGCATGATTCCATGCGACGTTTCACGCGGATTCATGCAGGTTGAAAATGTGAGCGGAATTGATTTAGTGGAGCAAATAGAGAGGTTGCTGGTGATGTTTGTTGTATCGTGTCATCATAACTTATCATGGTAGCTTTCAATGTGGTTTGTATGTTCTTCTGTTTTATTTATTTATTTTCGCCTCACTGTTGTTAAACATTATTTTATTTGTTATATTAAAAGTTTTTTAAAGCTCTATGAAATGAAAATTTGTTCTTGTCAATGGGTGAAACTGTTTGCAAGATAGACGGCATTAAAAACAAACAATAAAATGAACACATGAAAAAAAAAACAAAAATAAAACAAGGAAGCAAATTATATTGTAACATTTAGCGTCAATTTATTTTTCATTAGCTGGAAATTTGCATATTTTTCCTAATGCGTTTGATGCACTGTGTTTGTGTTATTCCGTCCATGACATAAATTCATACGTTTGTATTATAAATCATTCGCTTTATTAATTTTTGAGGTGTGTTGTGTGTTCATTCAGCAGGCTATCAATTTTTAATGCAAATTCCAAGTGGTTCATATTAGGATCTAACCTCCCACCTTTGAATATTTCGAAAACATCATCATCATGAACCTACTACAAACTTCGCTGTATTATATTTTTTCTAATTTACTTGAAAGACTTGCTGACGGCACTGGTGATTGCACACAAGAGAACTATTTCTCTTCTGTGTGTGAAGAAATGAATGCTTGTGTGTGTGTCTTCGTTTATACATGTGTGTGTGTGCGTGTATCTGTGATGTGTGTGTATGTGTGTGTATGTGTGTGTGTGTGTGTGTGTGTGTGTGTGTGTGTGTGTGTGTGTGTGTGTGTGTGTGTGTGTGTGTGTGTGCGTGCGTGCGTGTTCGTATTAACCCCCGAAACAAAAGTGTGAACAGAAATTTAAAGTGAGAGATAATAAAAAGTTAGAGGCAGTCAAAATTTTTGAACAAGAGCAACGAAATAAAATATGACAACAAAAAAATGGACATGTTTTAAAATTTATGTTGAAAGAAATTTATGCCAAAACCGGAAAATTTATTTCAAGTGAAAAAATTGAAGGTAAGAACTTCAAAAAAAGATTAACAGCATCACATCATCATAAAAAATTGAAAAATGTTAGAAAAAGTTGAAGTTGTGTTTTACAAATAAAATTGAAACACGCAATTGATGTTATTGTTGAATATTTGAATAGCTTCATTTCTTATGAAATATGATTCGCTTAAAAAGATATGTTAGGCACAGCATACAGCGTAAGTTATGGCCACATTTTTAAAATAATATAAAAAAAACTTTAATTTTGTTATAAAAATTGAACATTGTTCAACCGCTTCTAATATTAATAATTCACGAAATCTCATCAATTTTTTGCTATTTACGAACGTTTGGTCACGTTTTAACTATTCACCGAATATATATATGCACGTGTCAAAAATTCACCAAAAAATTTATACAAACTTTTTAAAAGTGCGTCTCAAAATATAAGAGCTTAACAACGTAAAAGTCACGCCAACAGCTCGCAGACTCGCACAGCACGCAAATAATTGTGACGCCACATTCATCAATGACATCGAAAACATTATTACATAGATTAGGATTTTTTATTTTAAAAACTTTTAAAAAATGAGAATTTTGTTGAGCAAACGCATGCATGCTTTAGACTGGCTAGTTGCTAAACTGGATTATTTAATGATCGTTTGAACACGTACCTGGCGAGGTAAAGATAAGATAGAGGTAGATAATTAATTAAATTATTTATCGAAGTTCGCGGTCATCATCATCATAATAATAACATCATTATTCAACTTACATCATCAAATTATGATACATCATCATGAGCCCATTATCATTGTTTTTATATTAATATTCATTTTTTTCAAATATTTCCTCACTTTAAACTTTCTCAAAAATACTTTGTGGCGTAGGCTTAAACTTTTTTTTACATACCACATCACTTTTAACCACTTACGCTATAAAAACCAGTGGTTGTATGTAAATTGAACTAAACTTCATGGCTGTGGGGAGCTGAAATAGTTTTCAGCCCAAATTTTTAAAGTGATTTCTTGCAATTTATTTTTAGCTCTAAAAAAATTTTCCATTCACTCCAAAGCTCCCACCTCGCTTACGTCTCTGATCCTATCATTAAAAGTTTAGTTTCATACAAAAAAAATCATTAGAATTTACTCTAACACAGCAACAACTTCTATGTTTTGTTTCCTAAAACAACGGTTATACTTTTAAAATTTCAACTACGTCATCCTATATTTCTTTTCTACGGTCTACACATTTGTAAGTTTTTATACTAATATCAGCTCAATCGCAGTCGAAAAGTAATTGAATTAATAAAATTTTTACCAGCAAGTCGAAACAAATGATGCACACATGGAAAAATGAAATTAAGCGGAAGCCTCACAGCAAGAAAGATGATAAAGATTGTGATAACTGAAGGAGACATCCATCGACTTGCAGGGAAACACGTTAAAAAATTTTCATGGCTTCCGTACAATGAAATCTCAAAAATCTTAAATAAGACGTGAGATTTTAAAATCAAAATTTTAAGTATTCACAAAAACTCAAAAATATTGAGATAAGTAATATTAATTTTTCAAAAATTCTTCATCAAATTCAAGACTGGTTAATAGCAGTTGACAGCTATCTAACGAATCGATGAATCTTGAAGAAAAAAATGCCTTAAGACACTTCGGAGGCGTGAAAATAAAATAAAATGCAATAAGCAAACAAAAAAACACTGTTTAACTGGTGCTTATTAGTGAACGTAATTAAACTGAAAAAAGAATATTGAAAAAATTCATCATATGAAACCAACGAACAAACGAACAATAAAAGACATCATGGAGGATATTGATCAATGAGAAACTGAAGAGACATTAGAACACTCTGTAACAATAATAATTTTTAAAAATGTTATAACTTAAAACGCAAATGTTTACAAATTTTTCAAAACAATTCGACAAAAAATAAACAGTTAGTAATGTTCACCATTGTAATTCGCAAACACGTTTACAATAATGGCCAAGTATTTTTATACACTTGATTAATCGAAAGCACAACTTCCTGGTCGTGATTCCAAAGCTGAAACTTTCACCGCAAATCACATGGTCCAAGGTTACTCAAAATAATTCATATCACAAAATCGCTCGACATCATCACGTTATCAATAACGACAACATCATAACAACAACCAACAACATCATCATAACATCAACCAACAACATCATCATAACAACAACCAACGACATCATCATAACAACAACAGCATCATGACAACAACCAAAAACAACATCATAACAACAACATCAGCACACGACCATAACAACAGTTAAAATGTTAACATCACCATCATCATCATTCTCATCACCATCATCATCATCCTCATCTTAATTGTACTCCAGACTTCAATTGTTCATCTTGCAAACAGGCAAACAGCAGCACGAACAACACAATTGTTGCACCACAACAACAAATTATCGCTTGCCCGGCATAAAAATAAAAAAAAAATGCAATTCAACTGGAGCGAATTAAAACACGATCCGTAATCGACTTCCGAGAATCAAACATGCAATGCATCATTTATATCATCTTTATCATTTGTATCATTTGTATCCTGTATATCATTTATCTCATGTATATCATTTATATCATTTATATCATGTATATCATTTGTATCATGTATATCATTTGTATCATGTATATCATTTGTATCATGTAGATCATTTGTATTCTGTATATCATTTGTATCATGTATATTATTTATATCAAGCATATCAATTATATCATATATATCAATTATATCATCAACAAGCTCATTCTAACTTTTTCTCAAAATTTTTAAATAGCAATGATTCCAATGAATTGCATTGAGCGTGCGTTGAGAAACCAATGCAACTCCATCATGTTTAATTGTTTGGGACGAACAAAAGAGCGGTAACCCAGCAGTGAAGTCAACGGGCAGAGTTGTTTCCAAGTTTGTTTGAACAAAAAAAAATTCAGGGGATCAAAAGTAACTAAATACTTTTGGAGACCACCCTTGATTAAATCTTAATTATATCATAATCTCCCATACCGAATAATGTAGTTATTCATTGAAACATAAACAAAAAATGGACATATATATGCATACATATACATACATGTATACACATTTATATATCATGTATATCAATTATATCATATATATCAATTATATCATCAACAAGCTCATTCTAACTTTTTCTCAAAATTTTTAAATAGCAACGATTCCAATGAATTGCATTCAACGTGCGTTGAGAAACCAATGCAACTCCATCATGTGTAATTGAAAAAAATCGACATATATATGCGTACATATACGTACATACAAACATATATGTGTACACATTCATACATACGCACATATACATAAAACAATTAAATAAATCAATGAAACACAAAATTTATGGTCCTAATGAAATGATCATAAAAGGAAAGGAGAGTAATTGCTTTCACACTGCAGAATGATAACATTAAATATTTAAACATTTTGCTTTCAAGAGAGTTTTAAATAATATTAACACACCTTACTGCCACAAGCAGTGGCAAATCCGGGTCGAGGCCGGGGTCCAATGTCTCAGTTTTGTAACCAGTTTTGTGTTAAAAGTTAGTAAGACTCATTGTTTTAACCAAAAAAATAACGCGATAAGCGAAAAGAAATGTTGAAAAATTCCCCTGCCCCGTTTCGAGAAACGTTTGAAAAATGTTGGCCCTCTCGCTGAAGTCGTTTAAATCCGCCACTGGCTACAATGTACAATTTAGTTTTAGTTTAGTCGGTCGTAGGGGGCTGCTCTTCCTGGTAGCCCACCGCATACGTCACCTTCAAAATTATAACGTCATCGTTAACGTAATTCTCAATAATGTGTGTCATTTTTTGCACCAGTATGTAGGGTAGGTGTTCATTTGCGTGAGCCAGTCTGTGATGCGATTATAAACGAAGCCTGGAATGCGTGGAGAAAATGTTTGTATTAGCTTTTTTTTGTCCTATTTCATCCGGCAAATTGCACGCAAAAATTAATTGCATTCTGATGTGGAAACCAATCTATCTGAGACATTTTTAGGATCAAATTTGATTAGAAGTTATCAATGATTCTAAGAGGTTTCAATAATGTATATTAAATGCACTTTTATGTCACATAATTTGCAGTTAACATCTTATTTATTCATTTAAAATTCAGATTAGCCAACGTAGAGTCAGTGAATACATAGAAGACTGATAAGCAAATATTAAAAATGAAATCAGTCTAGCAAAAAAATACAAAATGTGATTGATAGATATTATGCTTTTGTTTACCTTTGAAAAAAATTGTTTCCCACCAGCCTAATGGTAATATTATAAATACTCACCATCACCATTATCCTCATCATCATCCTTATCATCATCGTCCTTGTCATCAAATCACCATCCTTATCGTCACTATCAGTGTAATCATCGTCTTCTCTATCGTAGTCAATTGTTAAAATGTGATGTCATTTTGTTTCAGCATCATCATCATTATTATTCTTATCTAAAAAATGCTTGCACACATATGGATCATACAAAAAACCAACAATTCCAAACACTCACAGTACGTTAATTTTTTGACTTTGTTAAACCAACCCAACAAAACGCCACATAATTTACTAAAAAATTAAAAATTTTTTTTTTTTGAATTTTTTTAGTAGCACAATAAAGCAAACAATTTTTAAAAATCTGAAAAAAATTTCTATTAGCTTTCTATATCATGTATTTTAGTTTTTTCAACGTTGTATTAGTAATTTGTAGATTTTAAATGGTGATAATTACCATGGCATACATTTTTCATTTTGTTATTTCCGCTCCATCCAAATGATCGTTGTCTTGAACATTTTAATCCAATTATACCTCATTAGCATAATTAATTCTCCAAGAGTTATTTATGGTGAAATTAATGAATATTCCTAATTATCAGCCGCTCACTCATTGTCAACAAATTCGCAAATAAATTTCCAGACAAAAGTTTAAAAAATTTAATAAAATATCTTGCCATTTGTAAACATTACGAAAACAATAAAAATAATAATAATAATAACTTTCATAATAATAAAAATAATAATACCAACAATAACATCAAAAGGGCAATAACTATAATAATAATAACAATAATGTTAACAACAACAAAGACAATAATAATTTTTTATTATTAGCTAATAGCAACTATAATAATAATAATGATCATAACATTAACAATAATACTAATAGAAACCATAATAACAATAAGGCAATTACGCCTTGGGCCAGAACATGCTCACTTGCATTCAGAAACTTTCCAGCGAACACATCTGCTAATGTTTATTTATGTCCGAGTCTGGCTGGCTGAGCTGGTGGAGTGAACAGCTCACTTCCACACATGCACTCCTACATTAACACATACACACCTACCTGCACGTACATACACACATACAGAGACCCTCCTACACGCATGTACACATACATACACACCTACATTAACACATGCATATACAAATACATACATACATACACACATACATACATACACTCCTACATTAACACATGCATATACAAACACATACATACATACATACACACATACATACATACATACATACATCAAAGTGTTAATCCATTTGTTACTTGATGTTTGACAGTTCAGTGTCACTCATCATGTTTTGGTTTTAACATACATACATACATACATACATACATACATACATACATACATACATACATACATACATACATACATACATACATACATACATACATACATACATACATACATACATACATACATACATACATACATACATACATACATACATACATACATACATACATACATACATACATACATACATACATACATACATACATA